GTGGTAGACATTGCAATCCTTAATTCCTTCCTGCAAGATGAGAAGGTAAAAGAAAGTTGTGTGTGAGCCAATTTCAGCAAAGAAATGATGAGCAGAATGCAAACTTCCTTTTCCTGGGATAGGATACTCCCAAAGAAGAAGCTAGAGGAAGAGAAACTGGACACTCTACTGATAACCATTCAATGCAATGCAATACAATGCAATGAAAACAAAATTCCTTTACAGGGGCAGTGCCTCGTGGAGTCGTCTTGTACTGTTCTCAAGTGAAAGACTTGAACTTAGCTCGTTACAGTATAACTCTGAAGCTGTGGTAAAGCACCCATCAAATGCTGTGGGCTTTCAACCATACTGTATCTTGTCCTGTACAGTATGCTTTTACTAGGGTTGCAAAAATAGTTCATTGAGGAATCATGGCCAGTGGTTATTTATAGATATTTTAGACATGAATGTTTTAGTCTTTAAAACAATCATGTCGGGAGTGGGAATTTCCTGGTGCTACATCCATTGCTGGCAATGAATGCACCAAGACAGTGGCAAGAAAAGTCACCACCGGTGTTGTAGCCTTAGGTTTGAAAACTTACCTGACCAGCTGCTTTTCCTAAAGTGGCGTAGGTCAGTTGGTGACGAATCTGGGGCCACAAAGCAGTACTGTGCAGATGGGATGGCAAGAGACAGGCCATCGTATCCATACATCTCCATCAGTAAGTGGTGATATGCAGAACTGTGAACCCTGCAGATGCACAGGATTGTCCCACCAGCATCACAACCAATAACCTATTCTGACTAGGTTTTTGTGTAGTTAAGTACTCTCCTGCTCCTTTGAGGTACTGCAGCCGCTGCACAAACACCTAGTAGGAGGAAGTGGGTGAGAAGCAGACCTAGGGTTTGGACCACAGCAGCAAACTCAGTAGTTGTACAAGCTGCTAATGCCAAGAGCAAATTCTAAATCATGAGATGACACTCAGATATGTAATATCTGCTCTTTAACCCCTGCTTTGCACCAGAAAGGTACCCATCATCTGAAGTTACTGCTTAGCACAAGCATGTTGCCATTTCTGGCTTTGCCAGATAAAACTAGAAATGAGATGTAGATTTTTTTTTTAACAGTATTATTTATGACTTTAAATAGGTAGGTAGCATAATTAGGGATTGAAAGTGCTTTCAGTTGATCTTTGTAGCCACAGTATTTCTTTACATTATGCCTGCAATGCTATGCTCTCATTCTATCCATTCGGCAATAGCTACATTCATGATCTGACCAAGTTCCAGACTCTAGCAATCAGCTGCTATCTGCAATTACTGCAAGTTGTTCACCTAAATTTTTTCCCGTTTGGAAACTGATATAATGTTAGGTTAATGTGTAAGTTTCTGCTTCTGTTGTGCAGTGTAGTTTCAGTCATTAGGTGATCCCTAACTGGAGAATACACCTTTATTATACATGTGACAGAATCACAGAATGGTAGGGGTTGGATCATCTAGTCCAGCCCCCCTGCCAAAGCAGGTTCACCTAGAGCAGGTTCCAGAGGAACGCACCCAGGTGGATTTTTGAGTATTTCTGGAGAAGGAGATTCCACAGCCTCTCTGGGCAGCCTGTTCCAGTGCTCTGGAACTGCTTCAGTAAAAATCCCCTTCAAGGATAAGATGCTTCAAAAGAATAGTGTTACATCAGTCAATAATTTTTACAAATACAACAAAGTTTTACAAAGCCAGAATAATATTAGAGGGGATACTATTACATGGACAACCAATTCTTGTTCACATTGTACAACAGTCATGGGAGAGTATGCTTTCATTAATACACTTACAGGCCCCTCTGTCTTGCTTTTACATTCAGAAATAGGTTCCGTAATGTGGTTTGAACCCATGTGCAGTTCCTGGGCCATTCCTGTATGTCGTGCCTCTGCCTTAAATACCCCTACAGGGTCTGCACTAGTTCTTGATGCTACTCTGCCATGAATCAATCACGGACCATTTTCTTCTGTGAATGCCCATAGCAGCCCAACAAACAGTGACGAGGGTGGCACGAGCCTGAAGAAGGGTGATTACATATTTCCAGGTGTACTTGGTAATACTGACCAATTCAGCATTTTTAATACACAAACAGTTAAATATTTAGCACAAGTTCCCGGTCCCTGCTATGTCCTGCCTTGGGATGAAGTAAGAGCTTAATACATGCTCTGCTAAAGTGCCTTTTTCATACTATTTTTTTTTTTCTCTGTATAATACATTGCTAAGGGGATTGAGAAAGGAGTGTAATGGGGATTGGTATACCTCACTAAAAACATGCTTAGTCATTACCTTTATGGCATCGTCACCCTATGGGGATGAGTTACAGGGTGATGAATTCACCAGACTTCCAGGTGCAGAAAAATTACTGAACAGCTGAGCTACAGCCATGACTTCTCTGTAACAGGCTGCAGGTATCTTGTGGTATCATTGAAACAAATAGCATGTATTGAAGGCTTACCACTGCTAAAAATCACTATTACAAATCAGCATTAAGTCACCGAAGTGAAGGGCTTAAACTCTGCATTGCACAAAACTAATGCATGTAGAACCAGAACGAGTTCTAGGAGGATTCAGATTTGGTCCTGAAAGGGCTGTGGTTTGCTCTGTGTAACTGCTCATGTAAATGATTGACTTAACAGGAAACAAGTTACATCTTAATACTCTTTCCTTAGCCCACCAAAAAGAAATTCTTGATTCTTATTGCCCTGTGACTGTCGTGCTTATACGGAGTCTGCTAGCTGTGACAAAATGTTGCAGTAAACATGGATATTAACTGAACTGTTTCATAGCGCTGATCTGTCTTGTTTGCACTGAACAGACAGCATAACGCAACTCTCACATGAAGGTTTGCCATGGAATAAGTTCAGACAGCCACTAATTTACTCTCGTAAGTGTATGTTGGGGAAAAATCACTCTAGGGTCACATACAGTCAGTATATGAACCACTCTTGATAATGAAACTGCACTGAGGTGTTAACTTATTTTAAACTTTATTACTATTGACATGTTGCATCCCTCTTTGTAGTACACCTGTATTTTAGTAAGGAGTTGTATTTCCCCCATGGTTAAACCACCACTTTGTGCTTATCCTTCCCTCCTGAATTATAGTTGGTCCTTCATTCCAAGCACTTTATGCTATCTGTAATGGGATCTATTTTTGCACTGGAATATCTGTTAACTTTGCAAAAATCTAGAGAGATTTCACAACTGAAATTTCTAAGTTAAATCCTTAAATGGACATTTTCATTAAAAGCAAAAAAAAAAAAGTATATATATTTGTATTTGCTAATAACTGTTATGTGAAGTATTAAAAGGCACTCTAATTGCCTTGCATTAAGTAAAAAATAAAGCTGTTATGGCATCATTGGTCTTCAAAGTGTCGTTTTTGCATATGTTCTTTTGAGGAGTGCTTTTAGCAGCTCTTGTTTTGCCTGTTGTTTTTTTTTGGTTGTTGTTGTGAACTTTGCAAGTTCCAGTACCTCTGCAAATTGGCATGAGCCACATTCTATTTTTAGGTAAGTGAGGTGGCACAAGATTTGAAAGGCAAGTGCTATTTCTAGCTTCTAAAGTTAGTAAATGGAAAGGTCTCCAGCAAACACTGAAAAAAGTTATCATTGTAACTGTCAGATCCAGCTGCAGAGCATAACAAACTTACCTCGACGTTTAAATCCCAAGTCTGGTACCTGCCTCTGAATATTTCCATTAGAGAGATGTGGCAAGCTGCAACTATTGATAATTGTCCATCCTCTTTGCTAAAAATACCTTATACTTGTTTTCACTGACAAAGGAAAATGTTATGTTGGAGTATAAAGAATGTGAAATACCCTAAACTTAGCTAATACCAAATTACAGGAGGATCACTCACATTAATACTATGTTGATTTTGAACAGCATTTTACAAATGAAAGCAGAATAATGGTCTGATTTGCTCAAAGGAAAACGGATTTTAAAATTTTGCTTTCCTACTGCCTGTAGTCCCACTGTCAACCAACTAAATCCCAGAATCCAACTAATTCTTGAAGTTATGCTCATTAAGAAAATTCATCCTGAGATAAGAAGCCAATTAAAATTTCCTGTGTTTCCTGTGTTAATCTTGTGTCTCCACCTGGTGCTTTGGGTAATGTGCTTGATCTATCACCCTCTTGTCAGAAAACAAGAAGATTTGGAATAAAGTACACCTCTAACATCCTGAGTATTTTTCACGCTCAATGCTGGTGTCAAGGAAAATAGTTTCACTAAAAAAACCTGGGCTTGGTATACCTACTTTTTTTTTCCCCCCAGTAAACAAAAAAACAGCTTAGTTTTTGCATTCAAGTGGGGAAAAAAAAAAAAAAAAGTCCTGTTAGTTCGCTGTCCCATTTTTCAGCCTATGTTTTTCTTGCTTAAAAAAGTCCTTTGAGTTAACTGCCATAAAGCAACATTCTGAATGTGATGGTTTATCAGCCATTTATATTTTACAAATCAACTTCTTAAGGTGTAAGACAGTGGTTTCTGATCCTCCTGAGAGTGCTAAAGATGGCTCTGCTGGAGCAAGGAGAGCATGAAGACTTGGATATGGGAGCTGGGACCTGTTATACTCCCTTAGCACAGCAGCTGTGTCCCATCCATGCACCTTGGACTACAGCTGTGCTCTGTCAGAGCCTTCTGTGAGATGGTAATGCACTTCACAGAAGCAGTAATAGTCATGAGACAGCCTGCACAGATACTTCAGTAGAGATGTGAAGTCAGTTGCTTACTGCAGGTCAGTGATGTCTGTGGAAAAGCCTCCCAAGTGCCAGTTGGTGCCCTTTGAAGTGCAGAAGAGGATGCTCCATACCACTGTACGCAAAACACAAGTTTGAGTTTCTCAGTCTGCCCTGCTGCCATTCACTCTGCTTTACTGGCTCCAAAGCAACTTACCAAGATTGTTGTTGACCTGCCGAATGCTGTACTTGGAGAATGGGGTTTATCATTTCCCAGTTTAAAGAGAGTACTGTTTACAGCTCAAGCTCTTAAAAATTCATGCTTTCTCTAAGTTTATTTGGCTTTTAACAGTATTTCAAAGAATGTAAAGACATGTAGATCAGCTGAGTTTGGCTGCACAGTTGAATAAGAAGGGCTAATCCAATTTCAGCACCATAAACAAATATTAAAATACACAAGGCAAAGCATTATGCGTGTAATCCACAGTTCTGAGCAACAGTTTACTGAACAAAGAAAAGGCCAAAGTGAACTATAACAACAAAGTGAATGGATGCTCTTCTTGTGGCAGGGTTCATTGGGACCTGACCATCTTCACTGCAGCAACTCCTAGGGGCAATTCCAGGCACACTGATGTTTAATGTTACCCAGAATTAATACAAAGCACCCCACTGAGAAGTCTGATTAAAATGTATCTGGGTAAAAGACAATGGGGGGGGCATTCCTTCTTAAACCTGTATGTAGTAGCCAAGGCGTGATAATTACACGGATTACAAAAGTATGTTATGAAAATTATACCAGTCCTGAGCTGTAACTTTGGAAAAGGGCACTTAAGAGGTTTGATAGTGATCTAGCTATGCAGAAAAGGATTAGCATTTCAAAGGTTAAAATAAAAGATAGGTGCAGTGTGGTTCATGCCATAAGCAATATGGCTCGAGTTCTTTTTCCTGCAGATACAGGTATATCACTATAAACTTCTCTTTAGCAGTTGCTATCAGGGTGCAAAATTTTACTGATTTACAAATGCTAGTCATCAGCATTTTGCATCCATTTACTGTAAACTGAAGAACAATTGGCTCAGATCATGAGGGTATGACGATCCATGTGACGGCACTTGCTGACAGCACTTCCATCTGGTCCTTTCTGCCGTCAGTTACATCCTTCAGAAGAAGGTTACTTCAGGGGCGAGCATGGCAGAGGGATCAGGAGCATATTTTGCTGGGACTCCAAGAACCTGACACTGTCCCTCACTGAAATTAAATGCATATATAATTAAGACAGGGATATAACGAGAAATAATATTTTTTTCAGCATGCATGCAGGTAATGCTAGTGAGTTCTCTGGATCCATCATCTCTTACCAGCTGCTACCACTCTGGCATCTTCATGGGCACTGTGCCTTCCCGCTGCCCGGTGATCTGGGCTCTCGTTCCACCAGATCACGTGAACTGAAAATGGACAAATAAAGTCAGCTGAATACTGTTGTGCTGCCACACAACACGTACTGTAACTCCTAGCAGTCTCTCTTCACCTGCAAGGTGCCTTGCAGCGAGCAGAAACAATTCTCCAGTAAGCGGTGGGATGATCCTTTGCTGAGCCTTTAAAAGGCTTGACTCTTTAACATCAGATCTGAGTTTTTTAAGATAGCAGCACCCGGCTTAAGCCTATAACCCAACACACAAAGCTGGGTTCAAGGACTGTTTACAGGACTTTGGTGATCCACACCAACATTTCCATCAAGCTGGCCAATCCTGATACTGGACAAGGTCTTGCCCCTCTCCCTCTGCCCCTTCCCATGCCAAAGTCTGTCCCAGAGACTGAGCACTACCTGTGTTAAGTAACCCATACTCTGTGTGGAAAACACCAATCAGCTTGGTGTAGCCTGTGTTGATGTGAGCATTGATTGCAGCTTGAAATGCTTCACCCCACAGTGCTGGCCCACCAGGCTTCATCTGGAAAGTAACCCATTCGTATACTCCTGGAAGAAAAAGGAAAGAACCAACTGAAGGCAGGAAACACAAATTAATATGCCGGTTCTCAAACAGTGTGTCAGGGCCGTGATGTATTTATGGTGAGACCAGTACTGCCGTTCCCTGACCACAACACCCACAACATCTCGCGGCATCCAGGGGCTCACAAGACCACACCAAGGGGCTCACTAACTGGAGCTAGTTCAAGTGCAAATGGAGAGACTTGAGGAACCGAAGGCTTCACACAAAGCCCAGCTTAGCAGCTTTCAGTGTTGCCTGGAAGTTTGGGGATATTCAGACCACTCTGCAACAATCACAGATGCTCACGCACATTTGCAGGATTTGGATAGCTGATTGAACCATGCAGGGCGGCCTTTTCTAAGACTGGTGGTGTTTTCTGGCATTGAAGTGGTTTATGACCTTACAAGCCCCCTTTGACTCCTGGCAATTGGTCACAGCAAGATCTGAGGGCATGACCAACAGACCAGGACCAGCTCAGCACCTCTGCTCTGCCAAGCAATCTCCCTTCTGTGTAGACAAACGCTGTGATTTGCTGAAAAAACTCCAGTCCTGCTGTGAGACACGTTATCCATCTCTTTTCCATTCTGGCAGTTACTCTAGATCACAGTGGCTGACACTTTAATAGGAAGCTAGACACTTGCCACATGGCAATGTATGTCTAGCCTCATTCTCCTGCAATGTGCTGGAGACGATAAACTGAAATGGGACCAACATGTTTGAAAAGGCAGCTCTCCAGTTTTAAAAGAAAACTGGACTGCTTTCAAACTGAATTTTAACAGCACAGCAATCAGAATCACAGGGAAATAAAGAACAAGGATTACTGTACGTATGCACATGCTGAGGGCTAAAGCAAGGCCTGTTTGAAATCACTCCATGAAGCAAAGTCTGCAAACGTTCATAAACTGTGGAACAGTTTACTGGGGAACAATACCACTAATACCACATGTGCTACAGAGAGAATTAAAATACATCAGGGCAGGACATCTACACTTAACCTGAAGATTGTTACAAGTGTGCTTGACTTGCATGCATCCTTAAAAAGTAGGGATTATTTTTGGTTTTGTTTTTTTTTTCTAAACTGTTGCAAAAGCAGTAATATCAAGCAAATTGATAAAAGAGAAAGACATCTGTGAAAGAGAATAATCATTTTCTTTAGTGTCTCCAGGCAGTGTACTCCCATTGACAGCTCATAAAGTCATAGAATCAAAGTATGGTTTAGGTTGATGCAGCCCAGGATGCAGCTGACTTTCTGGGCTGCAAGCGCACATTGCTGGGTCACGTTAAGCTTCTCATCAACCAACACTCCCAAGTTCCTCTCCTCAGGGCTGCTCTCAATCCATTCTCCACCTAGTCCGTATTTGTGCTTGGGATTGCCCCAACCCACATGCAGGACCCTGCACTCGGCCTCGTAGAACTTCATGAGGTTCACATGGGCCCACCTCTCAAATCTGTTCAGGTCCCTCTGGATGCCGCGTTAAGCTTCTCATCAACCAACACTCCCAAGTTCCTCTCCTCAGGGCTGCTCTCAATCCATTCTCCACCTAGTCCGTATTTGTGCTTGGGATTGCCCCAACCCACATGCAGGACCCTGCACTCGGCCTCGTAGAACTTCATGAGGTTCACATGGGCCCACCTCTCAAATCTGTTCAGGTCCCTCTGGATGCCGTCCCTTCCCCCCCAGCATTTCAACCACACCACACATCTTGGTGCCATCAGCAAACTTGCTGTGGGGGCACTCAATCCCACTGCCCATGTCACCAACAAGGATGTTAAAACAGTACTGGTCCCAGAACCAACCCCTGAGGACCACCACTCATCACTGGTCACCACTTGAACATCAAGCAGTTGAATGCAACTCTTTGGAGTATGACCGTCCAGCCAGTTCCTCATCCACCAAGAGATCCATCTGTCAAATCCATGTCTCTCCAATTTAGAGACAAGGATGTCATGTGGAACAGTGTAAAATGCTTTGCTCAAGTTCTGGTAGATGACAGTGCAAGTACAGGAAGATTGCTCTGACCACTATTATGGCGCTGCTGTTTTGCATGTTCCTTTAGGCAATTCACACACCTGTTCACAACCTTAACGACCAGGGCTGTAGTCAGTTACTGATGTAAGTCAGTGTAAAATCCTTCTTAAAAACCTTGTGCCTCATCTGTGTTATGTCACCTTTTTCACATGGGTGTATGTACACGCGCTTGTTATATAAAGGGTTATAAAACCGTGTAATACTTTGTTTAAACTTTAAGCCATTTTTTGTTAGTCCATCAGCATCAGTAACTTTATCAGCAAAAGAGAAGATAAGCTCACCTCCTTCTTTTGGAGGCTTCCCAATCTGACACCAGGGAACCAGATACGCAACCTCATTGTGCTGCTTTTCCATCAAGGGGAGAGCTGCGGAGATGAATTTTCCCTGCCAGTCCTTGTCATTGGCTAGTGCGTGTCGGACTGCTGTTCTGTGGGCAAAATCCTCTGTAAGAAAGGGGGAAAAAAAAAAAAAAAAAAAAAAATGCACTTAACATCACATGAGACTCAAACAAAAGGTATAATTATGAGGCAAGTTGCACTTAGATAAGTTTGCAAGTGGTCTTTTTATACAGCATATTAGCTCGAAGCAGATGTGGTAAGTTGCCTTTAAATTCTGCAAATATCTTTGCTTTAGCTCTCAGATTTAAATGGTTTCAAGCCAAACCAGATTTTCCAAGGAAGTTTATAAAAAAGTAAAGTGAAAGATTCATATATGGCATCCAGGGATGATTGGATGTGGCAACTCTTACTGAGGAAAAGGAGATTCGGAAAAAGCACAGTGTGTAAGGAAGTGAAGTAGGAAAGAAAATTCAGAAGGAATATTAGCCTACCAAGAGAAAATGCAGAAAAACATAAGTTTCCGTTTATATAAAATGACATTAAAATTACAAGTGTAGAAGTAATGTTTGTTTGTTCAGCTACATAAAAAGTTATTAAATGCCCCAAATCCAGAACTTTTTCCACAAATCCACTGAATTAAGAATGTCTGAATTTCAATTGTTCAGGCTGCAGTGGCATCCTAAGCAGTCTATAGACAGATTTCAACAGTTCAAGAGAAAAATCCAGCATCTGAGAATGGGGAAAAGCCTTGAGAAACAGCAGTTATCTTGGGACCAAGAGAAAAGTATACTGATTAACCACTAGAAAGATATAAGCAGAGGTCTGATGGATCAAGGAGAAATTATGTTGTACCTTACACATGGAAACACCATTAGGAAAGAAACGGAAACTGTTAAGTTTTTCCTTAGTTAACCATTTTAGAAGTTTCTCGTAGATTATTAAAAATGGGGTGTAATTGAGAACAATTACACACGCATATAAACATACAGAGGCTGCATATAGATTATCTGCATTTATATGTATTATGTTCCTAAGGAGGTCTCAACGTTTTTTCAGTCCATTTTGAAATCCTGAAGACATCTGTGGTTCGGGAACGGGCCCTAAATTAGAAATACTTACCACGAACTGCAGCACTGTGCTGCAATTCCTCTATTACACCTGTTTTGAGCAGAGACCTCTGTTTAAGAACAGCTATAACTCTCTCACCCCAACATGTCCAAATTGTCCTGACAGGCTCTGCAGTGTTCTTTTCAGTAATCATCAGTACAGGAACAATTTATTTCTTTTATTTTTATATATATATATATTTTCTTACAGTGAGAGCAACAAATAGAAGCTGGGTAAGTGTTCCCTTTGCCTTCTTGCCTGGGAGGCAGGGAGCACGGGGCGAGCAGAGCAGGGGGAAGGGGTGCTGGGCATACCGTACTTCCACACGTGGACAACCTTATTCATTGCTCCCAGCTCCGCAGACCAGAATCCCACCAGCTCCGAGTGAGCCGTGCGAAGATGGAAGTACTTGTTGACCAGCTCCACAAAATCCTTCATCTTTGACGGCTTAATATCATAGGTGCGAATTTCGTAGAAAACGCTATTTTTTTGCCTGGGCCCTGTAGCAAGGGATGCATGTACCTGAGAGAAAACGTTAAGAAAAATAACTAAAACTAATTCTCAAGCCAGAAAACTATCTTCTGTCTAATTTCTAGACTTTATTTTAAAAAGTGAGACTCTATAGATATATATACTGGGGGCTGGGAGAGGAAGTACTTCACGATCTTGTGACTTTTTTCCTTGGAAATAGTTCCTGTGTGCATTATTTGCTGCAACTCCTTTTGGCAGTGCAACAGACCGTGATGTGTCTTCCACTTGCCACACTCAATTGTTTAATTATTAAGCCCGTTAACAAAGCAGAATTCCCCTTCCCCCGTAATCTTTCCTCAGGAAGCCAGCAGCAGGATGCAAAAAGTCAAAAGCGATAAAAAGGCAGTTGGCTGAACACACTCTTCAGAGTGCTGATGCCACTGAAGCAGAGGAGATACCAACATCTGCCCGCCTTGCCCTCACTCAACCAACTCACACTCCTGCAACGTTCTCTAATTGCAACCTTACACCAGCATTAGCAAATAACATCTTGTTGGCAAAAGGAAGAAAAACATACCAACGCTTGGGAAAAGACTTAGAATCATACAATCATCTAGGTTGGAAGGGACCTTCAAGATCATCTAGTCCAACCATCAACTTCACTCTGACAAAAAAAAAATCACTAAACCATGTCCCCCAGCACCATGTCAACCCGTCTTGTGAACACCTCCAGGGACGGTGCCTCAACCACCTCCCTGGGCAGCCCATTCCAATGTCTAATAACCCTTTCAGTGAAAAAATTTTTCCTAATAGCCAACCTGAACCTCCCCTGGTGCAGCTTGAGGCCGTTTCCTCTACTCCTGTCGCCTGTCACTTGGGAGAACAGACCGACCCCCATCTCCCTACACCCTCCTTTCAGGCAGTTGTAGAGAGCGATAAGGTCTCCCCTCAGCCTCCTTTTCTCTGGCCTGAACAACCCCAGCTCCCTCAGCCTCTCCTCATAAGGCTTATGGTCATGACTTGATGCCTTCCAGCAGAGGGTTGCTAAAGTCAGCATCCTTGCCCTCCCCTGGCTGCTTCCCACGCCCCAGAAGAGGCCTGCCTTCGCAGCTGCCTCAGTAACCTGGGGACACGCTACCCACCTCTCAAACTAAACTTAGAAAAGTTAAGGCCAAACCAAATCTTTGGCCCCTGGCCCATATTTGCACAGAGGCGGCTGCAGGACAGATTTTGGACATGACCCACTCCACCAGCACCAAGCGGGTGTGCACGCCGGACGGCTCAAGCCATGACATAGCGACGGCCAAGACCAAAGGTCTTGTTTCCTAATGACCCCTTGGACGAGCACACATCAGGCTCTGGTTGCCACATGTCACAGCTTCTTCTAGCATGTACGCTTTGAGAGTCCCCACAGGATCCTGAATGAGCAGTGATTGGGGTGCACCCTCACAACAGCAGTGATGAGGCTGGTGCCCCATTTCTGCAGGAAAAGAGAAGCCACCGCGCTTCCTGCCGCTCGGGCAACCTCTGCCCTACGTTGGACTCCCTCCAGTAGTTCCCTGCAAATGGGTATGGTGGGGGGAGAACTTTGTAGAGTAGGATAGATGGTTGGACTCGATGATCCCAAGGATCTTTTCCAACCTGAATGATTCTATGATTCTCTGATACTGTGATCCAGCGAGAGCCTCACGCCTGCTGTACAGAGGCACTCAGGAAGGCGAGGTAGGCAAGGGGGGGGTCCACCTGCCACCCCAAGCATGGACTCCTCTCCACTCACTCCTCCCCTCTAACCTACCGCCGTCTGCCTGCCGGCGGTGGGACACAGGAGCCACTCCATCTTGGGCTTTTTGATGATGGTTGGTCCCATGTCATCCACCCACCCACCCATCCATCCGTCCATCCACCCCCCACTCACTCATCCGTCCACCCATCCATCCGTCCTTCAACCCCACCACTCATCCACCCACCCACCCACCCATCCATCCATCCGTCCCTCCATCCATCCATCCTATTTTACTTTTAGGGTGTAACCCTTCTCTCTCCCACAGCCAGTGTCCTGAGGGCTACTAAATATC